TTTTTTTTTTTTCGTCTGTGTATTTGTTTTTTTTTCCCTGCTTTCTTTTTTTTTGTTTCCTCTAAAGTGTGTCGTTCCTAGGGAAGCGGAGCCTGGCCTTCGCGCAGCGACCGGGCCTTCGCTTAGCCGACCCCCCTAGGGCTGCGGTGCGTATACGGGAGTGCCCGCGGCCGATAGCTGAGCGAGGTACTGGTGGTTTAAGTGACATCAGAAAAAGGATGGCAGTTCCGGGCAAATTGGGTATCACGGGGGCTTGTATTTTTTAAAGAAACTGCCTCTGCGTGATGCTGAGCTGGAGAAAGCCTCGGGTCGTTGTTGTCTTTTTTGTTGTTGACGTTTCTTGTGAAGTATATAATCTGTCAAATGACTCGATTCGTCTTTTATGGATGCCCATCCTTTTGCTCCGTAAACAATTTAGTCTTGTTTCCTGAATCTGTTGGATGGTGGGGTCCATGCCTTTGTCGTTTGTTTTGTTGATGTTGCAGATTTATCGAACGCAGCCTTTATTGCACCCGGGCCAGTACTTGATGCTCTCTGCAACCTTTTCAGAAAAGACCTTCGCCGAATTCCGCGTATGACTCCAGATGAATGCCGCAAGGTTGGTCAGAAACATGAAATGAGCCAAGTACTCGTCAAGCTCAACCTCGCATACAAGCCTCCGTGCTTCATGCGCACCCAGGTGTAGGACCGGAGGAGATTAAAATAGGTTTTTCTCCAACCGAAATGGCCTTCGGTGTCGTGGCACTCTCCCAGGATCAGACTTTTGACTGTCTCGTTGTTCGGGATGCACAGTCTGTCGAACCTGTCTGTTTTTTTGAACAGTAGTCCATTGGTTACTCTGTAGCCCGGGACAGCGTGTGGTACAGTCTGCACCCTTTTAATTAGCTCACTGTAAATGGGATCGTCATTGTACGCAGCCTTGATCTGCTGCTGTAGATTGGTGCCTGCATCTAAGTAAGTCATGATGGCACTGAAGAAGTTTGTGCTTCTACTTAACACGTCTGCTACAATGTTGTATTTGCCCTTGACTGGTTTCAACTCGAAGTCAAACTGGTCTCTCCCCAGCCCACCTACTCAATTTAGGGTTCATTCGGGCCTGTGGAGGGTCTTTTGGTTATAATAGATGCTGAAGTGCCTTCCTAGGAGATAGTGTTGCCAATGGTTCAATGCCTCGCTCACGACAAACAGCTCGCACTCATACGTCAATGAAGCAACCTTCTCATTGGGCAATCTGCAAAACATGAACTCGCCGGGCCGGTACCCCTCTTCATCGTTCTGTTGGAGCACGGTGCCAATTCCATATTGGCTTGCATCAGTCGTGACAATGAACGGAAGTGACGGGTCAGCAACTTTTAAGACCGGGTATGCAATCAATGACTTCTTCAATTTCTTGAAGACTGAGATAGAATCTTTGTCCCAATTCCAAACTGTCTCCTTCCTCAGCAGTTTGCGCAGTGGTGCAGCGATCATTGTGAAGAAACTTTCGGTAGTAATTGGTTAGTCCCAAGAACGACGGCAGTTCGGTCAATGTGTGCCGTGTTGGCCAATCCCTGATTTCTGCTATCTACACTCCCAGTCTGACTCAATCTCCGTCTAACATGTGGCCTAAATAGAGCACTTGACGCTTCACTCATTCACACTTTTTCGGGTTCACCTTGAACTTCGCAGTGTGCAACTTCGTCCAAAATCAAAGGCAGATGCTGCTGGTGCTCTAAAGTTTTACTTAAAATCAAAATATTGTCTAGACAAATGACTGCGAACTTATCTAGCCATTCACGAAAGAGATCGCTCATCCATCTTTGGAAGGTAGCAGGTGCGTTCGTCAGACCAAACGGCATGACCACAAATTCATAGTGGCTATAGCGAGTTCTAAAAGCTGTCTTGTGTTGGTCTTGGGGCTGTACCTCTATCTGATGGTAGCCCGTTCTAAAAGTCAATTTCAGAAAAACGCTTGCATCCCTGCACCCTATCCAGCAGATCATCTATCGGAGGCAACGGTTTTGTGTTCTTCACTGTAATTGCGTTTAAACCCCAATAGTTGATGCACATGCGCAGTGTGCCATCTGGTGATGAGCTGGGCTTAATCCACCCCTTTTCATCCAGTTCTTTGGGAGACATTTGATAAATGGGCCCTTTGGGAGTCTTGCTACCGGGCTCTATCTTTATACGGTGCTTGATTTCCCTTTCCACTACTCCTGTCGGGGTCTCTCTCAAATCAGCGAACTCTTTCAGTAGTATTTCAACCAGGGGTGGTGTTGGCTGCTCCTTGCTTTCACTGATCGGTCAAAAATACGCTATGGGACTAGGTCAACCAAGTCGGCCTTGACCATGTGCCTTGCTAACGCAGGGGTACTCATACAGCAAAGGGACAGGCTGGACTCTACTTCGGACTCGTAAAACAACCGCTTTATCTTTTTGCCTCCTTTAGGGCTGGGCAGCCAGCACTCGTGCTCCCTCATTTGTACAGCAGCCTTTGCAGGCTCTCCCAAATCCGTCCCTAGAATCAGGTCAAAAGGTAGGCTTATCCTCCACGAAGAGGGTCAGGGAGTGCATAACTTTCTCTACCCAACTCCCTTCAACCGGAAGTATGCCTTTACCTCTTCGATGTACTCTTTGGCTCTCAGTTCGCTATTGTTTGCCAGCCTGCTCACGATCCCCTCATCCAATTTCATAACCTTCATGCCGAGGTGCATTTTTTGCAATTCCTTTCGGCTAATGTAGCTACGTGTAGATCCACTATTGACCTGTGTAGACCCCCTGTGTAGACCCCCGTACGAATACGGGCCGTCCGTAGGTACGGGCTCATGTGGTCGTACGGGCCGTACGTACGGAAAAAAAGCAAAAGTGGCAAGGCACGGAGCAACGTCTTCTCTGTATTTACGTTGATTACTGATGTACTTACCAGCACATGTAGAGAACCTAAGTCCAATATGGACCTAAAACACCTGAAGGGCACTACAGACTCAATCTTAAATGAAAATGAAAAAGATGAGAGCATACGATGGAACCTAAAACACCTGAATCTCTTTTCGGATGGGGCAGAGGGCTCGTAGTACCTTTATTTACAGCAGCAGCCTAGCAGTAGGCGCGCAGCGCAGCGTTGGTCTGGTTGTGTACACAGTCAGCGGACGGGAAGGAGCCTAAATCGATGGACTCGAAAGAGCACATCGCATACTTGAGCAGTACGAATCCGTCGGCGGTCGGGTGAGACTGACTAAAAAAATCTGGAAAAAAAAATGTTATGCAGAAAAATAAACTGAAACACTTTTGCCTCAGGGTCATATTGCAATTCGTTACCAAATTTGAGATTAAAAAAAACGTTTTTTTTTTTTTTTTTTTTTTTTTTTTTTTTTTTTTTTCTCGTACGGGACTGTAGATACGGCCGTACGGCTTTAACTCTATTAACTAGAGCGACTACTCGCTCCCTACGGATTTTTACACAGCTATTGACTAGTGCGACTACTCGCTCCCTACGGATTTTTACATCTGCTAAAATTAGCTGCCCTCTACTCTTCTTCTTCGCTTCGGCCCGAGCTTGGTGATGAGTGATAAACTCACCACTGATGCCTGTGAGGAAACCACTTAGAGAGGCCTTAGCACAAACAGTCTCTGGGCAGCTACCTGGGTGGGGGCCTACATCAGTCTTTGCCATAGGGGCCTGCACATAGGAGGGTGTCTGTTCAGCGTGCGCTTCTGTCTGTCTGTTTGTGTCTGAACGCTCAGCAGGAGTGACTGTGACTCCTACTGGCCGCTCCCTTTCGGGTAGTGGTAGTCAAAGCAAAAGCAAACAATGTGGTTGGCCTTCAGCCTTTTTTCCCACAGCGATTTCTGGATGCCCATTTCTTTCCATGGCTCTCTGCTTGCAATTCCTGGGTGTTCTGGCCATGGTCTACGCTCTGTCTCTTCCACCTGTGGAGGAGGAAACGCGTCCACCTTGTGGGGAACCATAACCCCTACCTCTCGCGTAATAGCTACCTTTGCTACTACTCCCTTGGGTGGCACGTCCTCTTCCTCCACCTCTTTCTCCACCTTTTCCTCGGTCTCCTCGTCCTCCTTGTTGCCCTCCCCCACGAGCTGCAGCAGCCAAATAGTCCCCTCCCTGGGCTACTTGGTTGCTATTAAGCTCTTCTAGTCCGTAAGCAATGATATCGTAGGGCAGTTCCTCGACTCCATCGCCCTTGAATGTGACCAGAAGACTATCCTTTCCCTCTTTGCTCCCAGATATCGTTTTGTTCTTCCAGCGGCCTCCTTTCTCCAAGTCCTTCCAGTAATGACAATAGTTTGCCACTTGGAGGAAGCTGGCGTGGTCTACGGCCATATTACTAAATTTTTCGTATGTCATGCCCTCTTCCTTAGTTTGGGCATTCATTTGGGATCGATGGGGTTTGGGAAGTGCCTGTGCAAAGTTGTTCAAGATCTGCGCTGGAGTGAGACCATGCTCGGGGTACTGCAAGAGTTTGTCCATAGTGGCCTTTAGTGTTGACACACTTTCATTTCCGATCGGCTATGTTGAGGATCAGATGTTCAATATGTCTGGCCAAGTTCGTCCTAAAATCGATTTTTTATGTCCAGGAAGAAATCTTCAATGCGGGTTCGTTAGGAGTATTCGACCATCAATGTGCACCCTGCCTTTTTCATTAGGGGGACATCAAAATTCTCAGCGTCTCCCTTGAGGCACAAACTTGCCATCAAGACACGGTCCTAATATGCTATCAATTGTCCGCACAGGTAGGTGCCCATGTGCGCGTTCCACTGATAGAAATTTTCTTCCTTTTTTCTGTGATAGGGCCAGGGGATTTTCACCTTTTATCTTTCCTCTCCTCTCTCCCCCTTCGGATGTTTTTTCCATGGCTACGATCCGGACGTCCGGACCGCCGTCCGGACGGTCTGGATTCAGTCCGGAATCCAGACGTCCGGTCTGGAAGCTCCGGATCTGGCAAATTTTTAGAGAAAAAAAAAAAAAAAAACGGTCCAGGATCCTTCCCCGTTGAAGAGCCAAGACCCCAAAATTGTTTTGGGGGTTTTTCAGGCCCGTTTATGCTTTCTTGGGGGGTCCGGACATGCTCACTCTCTATAGTAATTTATTAGACAACCCCAATTTTTTTATTATTAATAATTCATTAGAATCATTACCCATAAGTCATTTTTTAAGCTTTTTATTGGTTAGGAATTCTGACATGACTCTGAGGCAAAAGTGATTTGCATTGTTATTCTGCATAACATACTTTCTTTTCAGATTTTTTTTTTTTTTAAATGGTCCGGACATATCCGGACCTGTCCAGACATCCGGACCGTCCAGATCCCCCCCTGTCCGGAGATCCGGAAATGTTCGGAATTCCGGACGTCCGGAAACTACTGGACACGGGTCTGGATCCATGTCCGGAAATGTCCGGGTCCGGGTCTGGCGTAGCCATGGTTTTTTCTTCCCCCTTCGAATATCCTTCCTTTTTGAGGGCATTTGCCTCCTTTCCCATCGTCGTCACTCTCCACCCATAGACGGAGTCTCCCGTGGGGTATTAGCAGTGATTGCTCTTATCAACACCGCTACCACCCAGAGGAGATGTTTTTTCAATAAAGGGAATGGGAATGGGAATGGGAAGGAGAAAATAAGTTACCATGCCTCTGAGCTGTTGGCAGTCGAATCCATGTGTCTTGTGCAATACATGCCAATTGGCAGTGTAGACGAGGGTGAACAAACTCCGTGCCCCTGCCCTGCTGATCTCACCGTCTTCTTCCGAGTTCCTTGAGGGAAGGACTCGACGCTATATCTTGCTTTTCATCACAATGTAGCAAGGACTTTCTGCTATAACTGCAGTCTGTACAGGATCCGTTCTACTGCAGGCAGGCAGGCAAGTAGGCAGGCAGTGGTGAAGGGAGGACTTGGCAGTGCAATAAGCTCCTCCCTACCTACACTTTGCCAGGCGTACGCTCCTACCTCCACACTTTGCCGAATGTGTGCTCCTTTCTGTAGTTTTCCGGCTTTTTGTGTCCCGTCTGCAACACAGTTCACCAGCCTCCCTCATCAGGTGCTGGATTTTGTGGCCCTTTCTTCTTTTTTTTTCTGTGTTTTTTTGCCTCTTTTGGTCTTTTCTGCCATTAGAAAGCAGAAGGGTCATTTTTTCAGTGATTTTCTTTGTATACCCCCACCCCCGCCCCCCCCTATCCCTCCCTCTCCCGCTTCTTTTGTGTCATATTTGCTGTTTCCAGGCTTTTGCCTAGTTTTGATTGTTTTTATTTTCTCAACTTTCTCCTGCCCTTGTTTTCTGCCTTCTGCATTTCTGTTTTTTTCCCCTCTTTTGGTCCTTTCTGCCATTAGACAGCAGAAGGGTCTTTTTTTCAGTGTTTTTCTTTGTGCCCCCCCCGCCCTGCCCCCCCATATTTTGTGTCGTATTTGCCTTTTCCAGGCTTGTCTTTTTTTTTTTCTTCTTTTCAAAAGCTTTCCCCCGTGTGTTTCTGCCCTCTTCCTTTGCCCTCAGGTGCCTTCTCTTTTTCTTTTATCATGACATGAATGGCTTCTGACTGTTCAAAGCCACGAACGTCTGGTCTCTAGATGCAAAATTGTTGTTAAATACATTGCAAGATCCTCATCTGGGTAGGTTTGGTTTTGCATCTTTTGCTGTAGCGCATGTCACCAATATTGATCTGCCTTTCAGGCCATAATGGTTTCATTTGAAATTTCGATTTCTGGCCATAATGGTTTCATTTGAAATTTCGGTAAACATGCCTACAATGGTTTGGTTTAATTTGGAATCTGGAAATTTGTTTTTCTCATTCGATGCAGCTGCCTACAATGGCTTGGTTCGATTTGAAAAGTGGTGCACAATGCCCACAATGCCTACGATATTCTGGTTTGATTTGGAAATTGGAAATCCCTGATGCACATTTGGTCCACCTGCCCACAAGTGTTTGGGTTTATCTGAAAATTGGAAGATCCTACTACAAACAAACTCGGGTTATTTGCCTCGGCGGTTTGGTTTTATTTGAAATTTCAAATTTGGTTGATGTGAAATTTGGGAAATCCTGAAATCCTAATCCGAATTCGGTACACCTGCTTCGTACAACGGTTTTGATTGACGAACACGTCTGATCCAAATTTGGTGTTTTTTTTCTTTTCAGGCTAAGAAATTCTTGAAAGGGTTACAGATCACCGTGGAGCTGCGTGCCAGGAATGGGAATCATTACAGGCTGCAAAGCGTTTTTAGTGTCACTGTCGAGTCTGCCGATATGCTTAGGTGGGTGAGATCTTCCCACTCTCTCTCTCTCTCTCTCTCTCTCTCTCTCTCTCTCTCTCTCTCTCTCTCTCTCTCTCTCTCTCTNCTCTCTCTCTCTCTCTCTCTCTCTCTCTCTCTCTCTCTCTCTCTCTCTCTCTCTCTCTCTCTCTCTCTCTCTCTCTCTCTCTCTCTCTCTTACTGGACTGCCTATGACAGGCAGGATTTCACACAAACTGGTGTTTAAGTACTGTGGAACTTATTGCCTATGTTGGCGTGATGCTGTTAGGACCTCTCAAGGACGTGCTTTTTTTTTGCTTTTTTTTTAGGTGAATGGTGATTTGTTCAATATGAGTAAAAATGCGGATGCATGTGTCCAAAGAGCACTGGGCCATGATCTGAGTAAGAATTTGACAAATTAAGTATAAAGTTACAAACCGCCACTACCTTTTCACAAGCAAACACGAAACTTCAGAATACCATACACTCCTCGGGCGACGCTAGCGAAAAGAAGAAGAAAAAAAATATCGTGCCGGCGCTGCAGCAAAGCTTTGCACGCAGTTCTTTTCCACCTCAGCAAAACTAAACTCGGAGGTAGTGGTGGTTTAATAAACAGCATTATGAATTTGATGATAAAGTTTAAATCAACAGCACTTCCTAGAGTTGTGCCTGTAACACGAGCCATGATTTTAGGAAACGTACTGGTGGTTTAAGAAACTGCATTATGCATCGCTAACAAGTTCACAGGCACACGGCGTGTAGCGCGAGCTCCCAGGGGGGTCACCCATCCCGGTACTATGGTGGTCCATCCATCCCAGGAACTTTGCGGCCCCATGGCGCTTGGTTTCCGAGCGTACTTCAGATTGAACTAGGTGGGTGCATCAGGTAAGTGACCTAAACACGGAAATCATGGACGGCAATAATGCTGGGTAGCAGTAATACCTTTCGGTAGCGGGGCGTTGTCAATGCCAATGCACTAGTTGAACCACCAGTATGTTGCCCAAATATCAGCCGCGCGTTGTCGTTAACGCCCCGGAACTTCGGGAGGCTCGGGGTACCGCCCTCAAAGGCTATCGCCGCCAGCCAAAACAATTTTTTCTTGCTGCGCTGGTGGGTTGCATGAAATGGCGCGCAGCCCGTTTTCCGGCTCGGCATCCATAGCTGGGCCAAGTACTGGTGGTTTAAGGGTGTGTGTCGAGAGTGATGAACCTGGCATTTTGCAATTTGTCCTCGATGCACCGCTCACTTGGTTGAGAATCAGCTGATCGGCCGTGGCACCGAGTCTCGCATCTGCAGTGGTCCACCCTGAAGACAGTGTGGGAAAGTATGTATTTTCTTGTAACATGTCCTGGCTCCCTTTGTTTGTCAGGGTGCGAAAAGCCCTTTGACGAGATTCAGTTAGAAGGAGGCCTATTGAAAGAATGCCGCAGGCCCCAGCAGTATGAACGAGACATCTTTCACACCATCCAGTTCTTTTTTCCTCCTTTGCCTTTTTCTTTATTTCTCCAGCTCTCATTTACTGTCTGCAAGGATAGCTTATGGGATAATAATCTGCCGACAGATGCATTCAGGAGGAGAGGCTGTATGTTCCTGGTTGTTTGGTCATGGGACATGTCCAGGAACAGTCCCTCTCCTCAGTGTGCGTTGTATAGCATGCAAAATGTTGTGTTATGCAGTTTCTGGACGTCAGTGAATAGCTTACGTGGTTTCCTGGGGACGTGTCCTTTGTTCGCATTCTTAGTGTTCTTTGTTCCCATTCTTAATGTAATGAAGGGGGGGTCTAATAGCATGGTTTCCAACAGCATTCGAACTATTGATCTGTTCATCGGAACTCTATCCACAGTCCCAGACATGTGTAGTAGTTTACGTTTCAGCTACGTTTCAGCTACGACATAGTCCCATAACTATAGATCTGTTTATCGGAACTCTAGATCTTAATTGCATGGTTTCCAACAGCATTCTAACAGCATTGTTTCCAACAGCATTCTATCCACAGTCCCATAACTATAGATCTTAATAGCATGGTTTCCAACAGCATTCTAACTATTGATCTGTTTATCGGAACTCTATCCACAGTCCCAGACATGTGTAGTAGTCTACGTTTCAGCTAGGACACAGCTACTTCCTGTCGTTTATGGCACTTACGGGCCCATCAACATAGGGCGTAGGGTTCAGGGTGTAATCTATCAAGATCGCGTGCACTCTGAATACAGGAGGTGTGTAATCTATCAAGATCGCGTGTAATCTAACTGTTTTTGGTTTAGGGGTTAGGGTTTAAGAGTTCAATCTATCAAGAATTGTGCATGGTCATGATTTTCAGCCACCTAGCAGGTCAGATACAGGAGGTGTGTTCTCTGAATCAGTTGCTCTCTGTGTGCCTTCTGTCGTTAAGGGTAGCGGAACTTAGGCCAGTCCGCACGACAATGAGCTCATTGAATGATGTGGTCAGAGAGTCAGATGCCTGATGCTGCGCTATGGAATGATGCCAACGGACTGGCGTATAAGTTGGCCCACCCACAACAACATACGAATTGTGCATGTTCATGAGTTTGAGCCAGCTAGCAGGTAAGATACAGGTGTGTTCTCTGAATCAGTTGCTCTCTGTGTGCCTTCTGTCGTTTAGGGTTGCGGAACTTAGGCCAGTCCGCACGACAATGAGCTCATTGAATGATGTGGTCAGACAGTCAGATGCCTGATGCTGCGCTATGGAATGATGCCAACGGACTGGCATATAAGTTGGCACACCCACAAACCGATGAAACACAGATGCCTGTTCGAATCCAGATCGGAGTCGTTGAATGAATTTCTGAATTACGTGGGGTCGTTCAGCTCCATGATAACATCGGGAGGCCGTTGCCCTTTTTTTTTCTTAAAAAAGGAACACGTAAATAAATAGACAAAAAAGTCTTATGGTGCCTGTCAATTTGTGTTTCTCCTCTGTCATGCTGGTGGCGTTTCTTTTTGCATGGGTAGGTTTGAGATGAAGGAGGGTGAACAAATGAGAGAAATGACTGTCACACAATATTACAGTGAAAAATATGGCTTGGAGTTGCGGGGACGTACGTTGCCGTGCATAGATGTAGGCAAGCGCAGTCGACCTGTGTATATCCCCCTTGAGGTGAGTGCTTTTTTGCGACAGCTGTTTGGAGTTTGAGTCTTCATATTAATTGTTGCGCTGCAAAACATCGGAAGTGTCTGCAGAGTTGTTTACTACTGTAACTGATTGCTGTTCGTGGATCAGAATTTTATTTGTACTGTCCTTTGGGACATCCGTTAAAATCGGAACGATACAGAGAAGGAAGATTAGCATGGCCCCTGCGCAAGGATGACAGGCATAAATCGAGAAATGGTCCAAATTTTTTGGGAAAAAAAAAAAAAAAAACATCACTTGAGGTGAGAGCTTTTTGACACGAGAGAATTTTATCACTGTTTGTCAACTGTTGGTACAAGAGACGTTGAAGTGTCGGCAGAGCTGCCTCCTGCAAGAACAAGTTGTGCTTCTTTCTTTTTTTTCGCAGTTTTTGTTGTCTTTTTTGCTATTAGTCTATGAATCCATCCCAATGTGGACTGTTTTCCGGGTGGCAATTTCTCCCGAACTGGCGCAGATAGTCTGTACTTGACAAGTAGCCTGTACTTTCGGGCTCAGCTCTGTTTTTTCTCGCCCATGAGCTCTGGCAGATACTAAATCCGGGGAAGTCCTGGTTGTGTAGTCATGGTTAATGCACACTGAAAGGACTGCTTCCTTCATTTCAGCTGTATTGAGTAACGGATCATTGATTTTGTGGAAGCTACGTCCTCTAGTAGGGATGGTCTCTGGTTTCAGAGATAGGGTGTGTAAACTTTGACTCTACATGGTCAGAATAATAGCCTCCAAGAGAAAGGCAAGGGAAGAACGATAGCAGAACGATAGCAGAAAAAAAACTCTACGAAAGGGTTTTTGAAAGAGCCAGACAGGAGATGTCAGAATGGGAGCCTAGGAAACGACCTCTACGAAGGGGGCTGAGGATGAGAGCCACGCTAATCAAGGAATGGGAGGAAGGTGAGAAAATGGCCAAGTACTTCTTCAACAGAATTAAGACAAACAAATGCCAGGAATGCAAACATGGAGAAACTGCAAACGGAACAAGGACCGACCTTTCATAAACTCTACACATCCAAAGAACACGAGCCAAATTCCTTACATAGATAGACAGAACGATCAAAACAGAACAGGCTTCAGCTTTGGACGCCCCGATCACTGAGCAAGAGGTCTACGAAGCACTGCAGTCAATGAAAGAAAACAAAACCCCAAGTCTGGACGGCCTTTCCAAGGAGTTCTGTGTGGCCTTCTGGCCAGCACTTGGCGTGGAATATTTCCATTTTTCGGAGAACGATTGGAATAGAGGCACCTTGGGTAGTATACGAAGTACAGGAGTAGTATCACTTCGATAGAAGGGAGGCGATCCAACGGATATCAGAACAGAAACGACTGGCTAATTGCTAAATTCACAGTCGCACACAAGATTTCCAACGGACATCAGAACAGAACTGCTAGCCGACAGAATAAGAACAATAACCAGGAACTGTTTTCACCTAGACCAGACCGGATTTATACCAGGTAGATTCATACTTGACAATGTAATGACTCTTACTGAATCCGTCAGATACATTCAGGACAAAAGAACGAATTCAGCTATCCTGTTCTTCAACTTCGGAAAAGCTTATGACCAAGTCAACCGGAACTTCCTACAACAAAGCATGGAAAAGATGGGAGTAGGACCAAATTTCAGAAAATGAGTGCAAATCCTGTACTCAGCTCAGAAGCCCATTGAAAAGTACAGGTCAATGGTCACCTCTCACAGCCATATCGAATGGGACTAGGACTAAATTTCAGAAAATGAGTGCAAATCCTGTACTCAGCTCAGAAGCCCATTGAAAAGTACAGGTCAATGATCACCTCTCACAGCCATATCGAAAGTCCTGATCAGTAAGACATGGAGACCCATTAGCGTCCCTGATCGTTCTCTTTATCATGAAAGCCATTGCTTCCTCTCTAAGGACCCTTCAATCGAAAGGCTAGCAGAAGACAGGCAGCACTTGAACACTCAATTAGTCTGCCTACTACCATTCTGTTTGCAGATGATCTGATGGTCCTTATACGGGCCTCGGACTCCCTTGCTTCAAGCACTCAGCCGGGCCAAAAACAATAGGCTGTTGGCTTACAGATCCTCAAACTGGCACCCCACAGAGTACCCCGGAGGGAATGACCTGGTCGTGGGGCAATGAACCACTCAGATTCTTGGGCGTTCAGGTGTCTAAACGAGGCACCAGCCATGGCTCCGGCATAATGAACAAAATGATAGCCAAATCGGGTAGCTGGTCTAAAGCTTGCACATCAGTATTTGGCAGGGCCCTCATTCTTAATGCATCAATATTCTCAATGTTCTGGTATATACTATATAGCAACGAGTTGGAGCCCTCCGAAACATCTAATGAATCAGGCATAGCCCGTTCAAGCCCTCCAAAACATCTGATGAATCAGTCAAAGCCCGTTCAACTTAGAAGAAGAGCATCTCTCTCTTTCTCTCTCTCTCTCTCTCTCTCTCTCTCTCTCTCTCTCTCTCTCTCTCTCTCTCTCTCTCTCTCTCTCTCTCTCTCT